TTTGCCTCCAAAATGAGGGTCATGTTGTTTGACTTTAGTTTTTTTAACCCTAAGGCAAAACATTAAGATGTTTGGGTCAGACAGTGCAGCATTTGTTAATGGTGCAAGCCCACAGGAGCAGTGGGACTAGCAGCAACACCTTGTTGGGGCCACACTTGGCTCACCACAGGGGCGACAGTGGTATTTCCTCTCTTAGTTCCAGTGCACTACGTGACAAAATCTTCTGCCCAATCCTCTAATGAGCTTCAACCCTCTTCCAATTACCTTGATTTCTGATTACAGTGATCACTTCAATGCCAAGTGCTAGTGGCCAGACCAGCCCCTCCTACTGCCTCTCCAGAATGCTCAATGCAGCCACAACATTAACAGCAGCAAAGCTCTTCACAAACTGTATGGTGGGAGGTAACCCGAGGTGCACCCCAAGTGGAAAGCTGCCAGAGAGCCAGTGTTCCTACTGCAGGTGCAGCTGGGTGAGAGGTGGCAGAAGGGGCTCCAGGGCTCAGCAGCTATGGCTCTACCAGCTCTGCCCTGCCCCAATCCCAGATTCTTCTCAGCGAGGACTTTTTTTCTCCTAGGCAGGTTCCCTGCAGCCATATTCCTAGTGGCTTGGTGGTAAAAATACCCTCTCTCTGGACCCATTCTCCAAGTCACATTGTGTTTCCCTTGTGCCTCTAGGCTGTTGCTGCTCCCCAAACAGGTAAGAAATTATCAGATAAGGAAAAAAGACAGGGCATAAAAGACAGGCTGGGGAAACGGGTGAAATTTGTGAACTACTGCCCTAGAGGATACATTTGTGTTCTCAGAAGCAAGGAGGAACTCTGCAGTTACAGAGCAAGTGTCCAGCACACCCTGTAGCTTCCACAATGATGTGTAAATCAGAAACTACTGCTGTAATACCACCCTCTGGAGCAATCTGTTAAGATTGCAGGATGAGCACCCAGACACTCTAAGCTGAAACAATGCTACAACAGAACAGTGATCAATAAAAAGAGAAGACTGGGGGAGTAAGGAGCGGCACCCATTACCCCCCCACCCCCCACCCCGGTCAACTGTTGCTGGCTTAAAAAGATTAATATCCCACAGTCATCCTAGCTGGGCTACTGAACTATAAAGCAACATTCAGCCTAGTAAAATAAACACTGGACCAGCCTGCATCTACACTAGCAAACTCAGTGCACAAACACCTGCAAAGTAGAGTGATTGCACGCAAACTAGCTCTTGGGAATGGTGACTGAAAATCCAGCTGATTAAGGTCTGATTCAACTAGAAGAGGAATTCTTGCCCTACTTAAAACCTATGGTAAATACTAAGCCTCGAATAAAATGTACAATGCAAAAATGTGCAGAGAAGAAGTGAGAAGTACTGTCAGCAGAGTCTGTAACTGATCTGATCTGGGCTTCTTAGCAAAGTCTGTAGCACAAAAGAAATCAAACTGAGCATCTCCAAGGCAAAAATTCAAACAATTCTGGCTGTAGGCAAAACCACATTTAATACTTGCTGCCTTCTATGGCTGTATGTAATTACCTGCTGTACTTACTGGGCAAACATGACCTCCTCATCTGGTACAGTGTGACACCTTTACCTGTTTATGTATTTGTGCAAGTCAGAACTGAGAATAATAATTAAAGCTGGCCTGGCAGGCACCAAGGAGATACTACAGGCAGCAATGGATACCTTTGACTCTATGGCATTGTTTACAGTCCCTGCATTAATGTGATGCAGCATACATCTCCAAAACTGTGCCTCCAAAAGAATTTTCTGTGGCATGAGGCCTGCTTTCTATGGGTTCAAAGGTGTTTCTTAGTTAAACAGACAGCACATTGTGCATTAAAGATCTGAAAGCAGTGGCTCACATACATCCAAATGAGACCTGGTGTACTGAGCGTGCCAGGTGGAGAATTTACTCTAAACAGATCCACCTTTGTGTGTCTCACAGGAGCCACCTGCACCAGGCCGCCTGGGTGATTTGTATGGGTACCATAAACGAAATGCCACTGAAGTTCAGTGGAAGCCACAGCCTGAAGAATAAAGGCCCTGTGGTAGACCTCAGGAATAAGAACATGTACATAACCTCCAGTTGAACATAATTACTTTTTTGCTTTCATCTTTGCATCCTGCTTGACTATTTCCACAAAGGTACCTTCCTGTTCCTACCAATACATAGTTATAGCTAGCTGAGCCTGAAGAGCAACAAGACACTTTGCAACAAACGCTCTAGCAGGGGCACAGCTCAGGCAGCACCAGTCTCAGCTGTAGCGTCCAGTATCTTGCTATCACAGGCACCAGATCCCATAAACTTCCCAATACTTCCCTGGTTGCCACCTTCGATATAATTCACTCCTTTAGACAGTCTCATTCTCACACTTTATCCAGAAGCTGCTATTAACCTGTGCAGTACTGCAAACCATCTAGTACAGTATGTTCCTACCTGCTGTTGCTGTAAATGCCACGCTGACTTACGTGGCTGCATGGACCTGCCTTCAGGAAATGACCCTGTATCCAGCTGCACAACAGACATGAGGATGTGCCAGCTACGCTAAGGGCTGATTTCTAGCTTCAGGCATAGGATGCAAAGTGGTGCCTGGTGCACACAAAAAGCAGAAATCACTAGTATTTGGTTTACTCAGACTATGAAAAGAAGATAGACATGGCTCATTGATAGAGACTGCAATGCAGCTGACTTTTAATTACTTCTTGGCCCTGACCACTGCACTAAGCACACCACTAAGCTCTTCTTCCAGAGCTTGTCAGGCTTTCAGAATGGACAACTAATGCAATTTCTTCTTTTCTATAGCCACCATCCTGCTGTTAGTGACCCTGTCCTCTGTCTGAAGAGCTTTAATAATCTGGTTCTAAGTAAAATATATTTTTAAATTTTAAAACCAAAATTAAGTAAGTCTTAATCTCAAACCAGATGATCTTACAGCTGTCCATCAGCCCTGCCTTCTGTAAATGCTTGTGAAGAGTAAGTAAGTAGCAAAGCACTTTGAGCTCTCTAGTAAGCGAACCAGAGGACATGAAATGACTGTAGCAGTGTTCCTCAAGGTGCTTGAATATTCTCTTAAAGAAACAGCAGAAGAATCCACTTATAGGATGTATGCTCAGTTATAGATCATGCAAATGTGTATGTGGTCTATCACACAAAAGACACAATATACAATCTTTACTTTGACCTGCCTTGTACCTGGTTACTATAGTGCAGCAGCCCTAATTGAAAAGCAATCAGTATACATCTACCAACTATGATACCTACCTCATCTTCTAAGCAGACAACTGACAGCCTGAATCTGTGCTTTTTGCTCAAGCACCCTATCAGCTTTTTTTTTTTTTTTAAAAAAAGAAACACTCCTATGCTGAGTATACCTAGGCTATGCTAGACCCCACAGTACTGATCCCCAAACACTTCAAAGGGCTTTATTGGAGTCCACTGTTGCTCCCTCCCAGCCCAGTCACCTTTATTTCCTTCCAGAGAAGGGCTGGACACATTGGAAGATGCATGGCCTTGTACTCATATGCAGGTAGAATGCAACCACAGTTCATCCCCCGGAATTAGGATACCAAGAGGTGTCATGGAGCATATCTCTGCTACAGTACAGAAGACAACACTTGGGCCATGTTTTCTTCTGACCTCTGCACCTGCTGGTGAAACAGCAGCAGTTGTATAGAACTAATTATGTTTCTTAACCCCACTCCACCTCTCCACACTCCTCACTATCCCCCCTGAATTTCAGGTGGGAGGTATGTCTTCAATCCAGCTGCAGTGAGATCCATCCATTTACCAGCCTGTGTTTTTATGTGGATTTGGGGGGATTTCATGCTGAACTGTGGCTGGTGTGTTACAGTTAGTAGCTGTCACAGGAGAAGAGTCAGAGATTACTCAGACAGATCTGATCTAGTAGTTAGTTTATTGAGTTCTAATCAGTAAATTTAGGTATGTAAAATATTTAATAAGTATAGATGGATTGGCAGCCAACACTCTACTATTTACTACACTTAAAGTTGGTATGGGATACAAAGATTATCGCTTAAGCTTACTATACATATCTTAAATGTTACATGCATGCAAAAAATGTCACTTACCAAACCATCAATGCCTGGTGTCAGGTAAGGGATCTCTCAGCCTCGAGGGGTAACCCTGAGAGGTGTCCCTGCTCAAGGGGAGATCACCGCCATGCAGCCAGCTGCTATGGAGGGAGAGCTCAACAGATGCTGATGGCTGCAGATATTTATAGTGTAAAGTGGTTGATTCGCAGTCAGATTTCCTGCTGTGTTAATGCAGTTTCAGCCACTTATCAGCCCAGTCTCCAGCCTAAACAGTTTTTTGGGGTTTGGTGCCGAGTTCTCACCGACAGCCTCACACAATAGGATTAACTTTGATTAGGCCTACTTGCTGAGCATCTGCCTGGACCAAAGTTCAGTCAGTTCAAACAGGAGGAGTGCATCCGTCACAGTAGTCTATAAGCAGCAGTACCTAGTCAAAGCTTTAGCTTTTTCTGTGAGCTAAATAGTACCCTGCTCTTTTTTATTCTAACTAAATTGTGAAACTGGCAAACAGCTCTGAATTCTTGTACATACTGAAATGGACTGAAAATGAAACAATCTGATAAATATTTATATAGCAAGGCAGCTATGACATCCAGAGGAGATGCCTGGTCTTGGAATACTTGTATTGTTCTCATTGCCACTTACTACTAAAATCAGGTATTTAAACCAACCTGTTACACAACAGCAGACACATCTCATGAAAAACTTCAGTATTTATTTCTAACTGATATATAGCTCCAAAGAATGAAGATTATTCTCTAGAGGAAAACAATTACATTTATTCAATAAACACTTCCTAAAAAGTACATAACTTAATTGCCAACAAGGAGGAGATCCTGGTTTCTTTTCCGCTGCTCCCATGGCCCCATGCCTTTGCAGAGCTAACGGCCTCTTTCATTCAGCAGAACATTTCCAAGAGAGACTGCTGTCCTCCTTTTTTGCAGTTGTGGCTGACGTTATTCTTCTTCATTTGGAAGAAACCCTTTTGCTCTGTCCAATTTGTCCAGAACCTCACTATAAAGACCAATCATCTGGAGAATATAAGCACCACAGTTGTCAATAAGGATGGATAAAGTTGTATCATTCAACTAGATAATACACCAAAGTGACAGGGAACAGAAGCAAGGGAATAGGTGGGAGACTACCACTGGCTTCTAAACCTAAAATTTCATATTGATGTAAAGGTTTCGGTACAGATTTAATTAAATACAGTGGTTTAAGAAAAAAATAGTTGTATCAGTGCAACCTAACAAAGGTGGTTTTATTTATACTGACATAAAGTCTAGTTTATAGCTGAGTCTTACATCATTGAATAAACCTATTCACAGAATCACAGAATGGCTGAGGTTGGGAGTGATCTCAATTCTTATTGTCTTAACTGATGTACCAGCTCATGCATACGAGAATGAATGATGACTACATACACCAGCCAGGCTGCACTGTGTTGCAATCAAGGTAGGAGCACCAGCCCAAAACTGTAAAGAGAAGCTTACTTGTGACAGAGCAAGAAAAAGTGTTGCTGCTTTCTACAGAGGTACTAGCCCTGAAATTTTTCCCTCCCAGGAAGTGGCTAAGCTACACCTGAAAAGACGAGCTTTAATGATATTATTCACATCAGCTTAAAGCCTGTTTATAAGACATTAGATTATACTAGAAACCAAGCTTGAAAGTATTCATAGAACAGCTGTTTACTTAAGTAAACTGGTACAGCACCTTGACTTTAGTGAAAGCAGGCAAGGTAAAAGGGTTGTCCCATGGCCACAAATAGTCAGAAGTTTATTTTCAGTTAGCCATTTACATGATCCTTCCAGTAAAAGGACACTACGTTACTCTTTCTATTGTCTAATAAAACTTTTCTGGCCTCACTTTGAAAAAAATCTTTTAGCATGAAGCTCCCCCAAAATATTTAGGTACCATGCTTCTCCTGAAACTCTTTAAAGATCATCTGTAGTGGTTTCTTCACCCAGATCTGTATCTCAAATTCAGGCCAGACACCCAATCCAACATCCTCAAATCCATCTGCTTACACTTACATGGCCTTCATAGCTTTTCTTCAGAGATCCTAAGTGACTGAGGAAACGCATTCCTAATCCACACCACTGCTCAGCTTCCTTGTATTTACCAACAGTATACTGAAATATTCCTGTATTCCAGGCTCTTGTCATCAACCAAAGGATCTCCATCTCCGGGTAAGCATCCTGGAGTAGCAAATAAGCAGCAGCAGCTCATGAGAAAATAGACTCTTCACTTTAAACCTGACAAGTCAAGAGTGCATTAGAGTTTAGTTTTAGAGTGGGAAAACACTTGGGGTTTGGGTTTTTTTTTTCCTCCTAGGCAAAGGGCAATTCCTTCTGAGCCATCCTGTACTTCACAGTTCATCTACACTACTGTCAAACAGCTTGTTTCCAACATCACAGAATCATAGAATGCTTTGGGTTGGAAGGGACCTTTAGGGATCATCTAGCCCAACCCCCCTGCAGTGAGCAGGGACATCTTTAACTAGATCAGGTTGCTCAGAGCCCCATCCAACCTGACCTTCAATGTTTCCAGGGATGGGGCCTCCACTACCTCTCTGGGCAACCTGTTCCAGTGCTTCACCACCCTCATTGTAAAAAATTTCTTCCTTATATCTAGTCTAAATCTATTCTTCTTTAGTTTAAAACCATTACTCCTTGTCCTGTCACAACAGGCCTTGCTAAAAAGATTGCCCCCATCTTTCCTACAGGCCCCCTTTAAGTACTGAAAGGCCGCAATGAGGTCTCCCCGCAGCCTTCTCTTCTCGAGGCTGAACAACCCCAACTCTCTCAGGCTGTCCTCATAGGAGAGCGGCTCCCATATAATTTTTGTGGCCCTCCTCTGGACGTGCTCCAACAGGTCGATGTCCTTCTTGTGCGGACAGCTCCAGAGCTGGACGCAGTACTCCAGGTGAGGTCTCACCAGAGCAGAGTAGAGGGGCAGAATCGCCTCCCTCGACCTGCTGGCCAC